AATGGTGGTTGCCAGGGGCTGCGGGAGAGGACAAGGGGAATTACTGTTTAATGGGGGCAGAGTTTGGGAAGATGAAAAGTTCAGTGTATGGATGGTGGTGTTGGTAGCACAACACGTGAGTTCGCTTAATGCCCCTGAACTGTACACTTGAAAGTGGTTAGGATGGTAAATTTTATGTGATGTGTGTTTCACAACGACAACGACAAAAACAACAACAGCAACACAGAGAGTTGAGTTCTGGGCCCTGGGAAACAGCTGAGGGTCAGGTCCCTCTCCCGGCCGGCCGAGGGGGATCTCCCTGCCGCCCCTACTTTGTATACAGACCCTCTGCCGCATCACTTGCGGGGGTCACGTCTGGCGCTTCACTGAGGATGGAGAGACAATGTTTCACCGGCAGGGGGCGCCAAGTACCCGTGCACCTGCCCCGCTCCGCCGGCCTGTCCAGGCAAGTCTCCCACCGTCTGGGTTTTGAGGGGAGTCTCCCAGAAGGAGCCTCGGCTCCTCTCATGCTGGCTCCTGGGCGAGATGCGTGGAGCCGATACGCCCCGTGTTTCTCTGATCCCATTTGCTCACAAACCCTCCACTTAGAGAAGAAGCTCCTTTACTGTCGAGAGAATTTGCTCCTAAAGCCATTACAAGAAAAATTATTGAATAAATATCATGAGAATACTGTGTCAGTCAGGGCTGGATCAGGATAGAGAAGCCACACAGTAATTGGCATGGGAGAGTTTGATATAGAGGACTGTGAACGGAGACTGGGTGGCCTACGAAGGAACGCAGGACCGCAGCTTTAGGGATGCCTGGTCAGCAGACCCCGGCGGCAGGGGGCCGCACCCTCAGGAGGAGTGAGTCAGGGGCCAGGCGCTGCCTGGGCGCATCATACGTGGGCGTGGGAACCGAGCGTCCCCGTGTCACACGTGAGAAGATGCAGGTGCAGGAGCGGCTGCTTCCTCTCTGGGGTCTCAGACCCTGGGGCCCGGCAGTACAGATGGGGAGCAGCCCCTGTGGGATCCAGCAGTGAGCCCTGTCCTCTCCCCTAGGGGCAGGGATTCTCCCCACCCCATGACATCGTCTGAGCTGGTCTCTGGGTGGCACTGGCTGCCAGGCCACTCGCAGGGGAGTAAGACCACTTGGGCTCACCCTTCAGGGCTCAGCTTACTCCACGGGGCCTGAGCCTACCGTGAACCACAGGGGAGGGCCTCGTGCTCGTCCAGTGCCTGTGTTTCCCAGAGGACCTGGCATGGGTCCCTGGACTCTGCAGGGTCCCCTCCTCAATCAACACAGCTGCTATTTTCCCATCTGGTGGCCCGTGGCCAGGCAGGGGTGAGGAGAGGACCCTCAGGGAGCTGCCTGCAGGCCTGCTGGAGAAGGTGGGGTCTGATGGCCTTGCCTTCCCAATGCAGAAGCCACCTGCTCAGAGTGGCTGTGCCGCAAGGAGGAGCCAGACGAGGCCGACAGGCATGATGGCTACTCTGGGCCTGTCATGGCCATCTGGGTCCTCCCCATCTCCACCTCCATCTCCACTGTACCGTCTCCACCCCCACCATCTCTATCTCTACCTCCACCACCGTCTGCACCATCTCCAGCTCCACCATCACCATCTCCACCCCCACCATCTCTATCTCTACCTCCACCACCATCTGCACCATCTCCAGCTCTGCCATCTCCATCGCCACCATCTCCATCGCCATCTCCACCATGTCCACCTCCACCATCCTCACCTCCAGCACCTCCACCTCCACCATCTCCACCTCCATCCCCCAGTGCCTATGAATCTCAGCACAGAGAAGCCTCTTTGACCTCAATCCTCACCTCTGACCTGAGAATGAGGCAGGGCAGTTATCCCCTTCAGCTTCAGATGGAAAACTCGAAGCTCCCTGAGGGTTTTCGAGCTTGGGGCGGGTTCCTATAAAAGCTGATTGGACCTGTTCTCAAGGGTGTGTGAGCTGAACCGAGGGCAGCTGGGGCTTCAGGGGAACAGGAGGAGGGCTGGCTGGGAGACCCTCAGGTGGGTTTCTGGATCCATCCATGTGGGGAGGAGACGGTTCTAGCCTGTGAGCTCAGGGAATCCCCTGGGCCTGGCCTGTTCTCTCTGCCCTGAGGCCCGAGGGCTGCAGCTGGCCTCCCAAACGTCATCAGCTTGGCCCAGAGGAGCTGGCTGTTTTGTGAGTAGGGGCTTCCATCCCTGGAGGGATCCAGACTACAGCCTGTCCCCCTCTTAAGGGCAGATTGCTTGTGGATCAAACAGCATCATCCTAGGGCAGCACCCACTGTCATGAGCACTGACCCTCACCCACCTGTCCAGGGTGTCCCCTTACCCAGCCTGCACCGTCCCACCTTCCCCTCTCAAGCTCATCTTTCCACAGGGAGAGCCCCTCCTGTCTTCCGGGGAACATCACGCCCTCACACCCCTGCCCCCAGACCTAGTGGCATGTACAGCAAACACGTGTCCTTCCTCAGCGTCCTGGGGGAGGCTGGCCGCGACTCAGCCAGGACCTCAGTGCAGCTGGAGGAATGTCGAGGTGACCTCTCACCCCAGGGCCACCCACACGGCTTCTCCTTGTCCGTGAAAAAGCAGCTCTGCACAGCAACAAGCCAGAGCTGCCCACCTCTTAAGTTCTGGCCCTGGAGTTCCCAGAACGTCCCTTCTTCTGTGATCCACAGACCATAGCAACCACTAATGCCAGCCTGGATCTGGTGGGGGGAGGGGCAGCCAAGAGCCTCTGATGACCTTTGAAGCGTCTCTGATGACCTCTCTGGAGAGAAGAGAAGCAGCCGGCTCTCAGCAGGGGAGACAGCTCTGCACCGGGGGGTCCAGTGTGCCCAGCGGGTGCCAGGACAGGATGAATGTGGGAGCAGCAGCGTGGGGTCCCAGCACGATGGCCCCTCTGGGACTCTCCTAACCCCCTTCTCACTACCTGCCTGAAACCACCTGCGCCAGCAGACCACGTGCCCTGTGCGGGCCACGGCACTGTGCACGGGGAACGGAAGCCAGGGCCCTGCCTCTCAGGCACTCCCTCTAACGGGGATGCGTGGGCAGCCTGTAGGCCTCGGGAGTTTGCCCTGGGGCACGGAGGAGCTCCATGGAAGTGGGGTGCAGGGACCCGAGTCTATGGGATGGGGGAGGGGAAGGCATCGCAGACAGGGGAGCAGCTTCATCCAGCGCCCTGCCTCCCAGGGTGCTCGTTCCCTAGTACCGGTCAGTGTGGAGCCACAGCCCCAGGCTGGGGCAGGCTCCAGGGTGCTGTCTGATCTGCCCCCCGCATCTGGCCCATCTCCCCCATTCCAGCCTGCTAGCTGTGTATGATCGCCTGCGAGGTCTGGCCTAGCCTCTCTCATGGAGTGGTGCAGGCCTCTGTGAGTCTGTGGCCTCCTGGGACACTGGTGGACACCTGGGCCGTGCTCTTGGCTTGTCTCCCTTTGTGCAGGGCATCTGAGATAGGGCAGCTGGCAGGAAACACTGGCTGAGACTTCAGCCCCCGCTGAACGCGTGGAAGGCCTGGGTCACAGGTGCTGAGTCGCCCCTGCATCTGTGCTTGCCACCACCTAGGGCAGAGGCAGGCAGGATGGCTGGTCAATTTTAACTAGCTTGAATTCTCCCTTGAAATAATTCTGTTTGTAATCAGAAAAAGCACAGAAAGCTTCAATCCCTTATTAAGTGGACTTCCTCATGCAAGAAAGGTCAGTTCAGCTCTTGCAAGGTAGTTGTTTTGCGATGCCTGTACTAGAATCCCTCTACCCAACCCTCCCTCGCAGGACCTGGACTTCAGGGTGGGGGTATTACCCATCTTCCACCACTCAGAGAGGCGGAGCCCTTGTCCAGGTGGGGAGCCCACTTGCTCCATCCCTCTGACTTGGGAAGGGCCCAGGCTGAGAGCAACCAATCCCTGAGGGGACCCCCATCTTCCTGACCCGACTTCTTGAGCCCTCAGACCAGCACGTGCTGGGGGGGTTGTGGACTGGGGGCACCGTAGGGCACAGGGGTCCCCATCAGTGACAATGTGACCAGCTGTCCATGGGGCCAGAGTCTATGCTAGGGGCTGAGAATGACAGAGGTGACCAAGCCAGGTGAAGTGATCCATGGTTGGAGAATCCCCGGTCCCTCCCTCCCTCCCCTCGGAGCCCATGACACTCCTCTAGGTCAGGTCCTTAGGGGTACCCAGTCACTCTCCTGGCCCTCGTCTTGTCCCCTGAGGCCTCCAGAGGGCACAGGGCAGGACCAGGGCCTGAGGACGCGGTTCTAGCCGTGGGCAGTGGGGTGTGTGCGGGAGTGCAGCCGGGTGCACGCGTGTATGGCCCCACCCGCTCTAGTCCAGAGGGGTGCAAAGGCTCCTGGCACAGACAAGGCCCCAGGAAAGTATCCTGGGGGCCTGAGGCCAGTAAGAGTTCGGGGATCATTTGCGCTCCACCCTGAGGGCTCCTCTCCGCACCCTCACACAGAGATATCCCCACTCTCAGCCAGCTCTCTCCCCAGGGGCGCTGCCCTGCCCGGTCTATCATGGCACAGAGACGCAGAGCAGTCCTTCTCCAGACACCATGCCCAGCTCTTCTTTGGGCTGGGGTGAGGGTGGGTGCATCCGCAGGATCCTGCCCGCTCCTTGGCAGGCTGCTCTCACCTGCCCCTCATCTTGCCCCGCAGCCCAGCCGGGCGCGGAGCCTTCCAGGCTCTCACTTGCGGTGGGCCGCGCCCCCAGGGCTGCAGGAAGGGGGCTTGCGCTGGGGAGGGGATCCGTCCTGGGGGAAGGACCGTCCAGTGAGGGAAGACATATTTTGGGCTATAGGGCGCGTCCTTAGGGTACTCGTCCTAGGGATGGGAGCGTCCTGGGGGAGGAAGCGTCCTGAGGGGGAGCACGTCCTGGGGGAGCACGACCTGAGGGAGGGCACCTGGGTGGGAGGGAGGCGCATCCTAAGGGGCGCAGAGCACATCCTGGGGGAAGGCACCTCCTGGGGGCGGGCTTTTTGCGGCCCCATCCCCGCCTGGGCTCCGCCCCCGGGCGCCCCTAGCGCCCCCAGCCGGGACTCAGCTGTACCGCGCGCCGCAGCTGGATTGTGCGCCACACAGCTGGACCGCGCGCCACAGCTGGTCAGCCATGGAGACAAGAGCGCGGCGGCGCCCGCACCTTTTCCCGCTACTGCCGCTGCTGCTGCTGCTCTGCGGTAAGGGGACGCTCGGTCCGGCACCGGGGGCCCAACCGCCCCTGGGGCTGTGGGATCCGCGCGGCCTTTGCCTTCCTGCAACCGCACCTGGCTGCACCTCCTCCCCTGCACCGACCTGGGCGAGTCTGGCGCGCCCCGCTCCGGAGGGGAGAGGGGTGACCGGGTGCGGTCCCCAGGCTCTCTCCAAGCCGATGGCGACGGACCGGACTAGGAAGGAAGGTGCAGGGTCTCCTGCGGGCTCTGCATCGCCAGCCGCAGACTCGGCCTGGGCCTGCCCCTCCCAGCTGCGATGTCCCCGGCCTCGCTGCCCTGGAGCTGGGGACGCCATGCCAGCGCGACACCCCGAGCGAGCAGCGGCGGCGAGCATGTCCGTCTCCCTCCTCCCTGTGAGATAGTGCGCTCCTCGTCCCGGGGCTCCTGCGTTCACACCAGGCGCAGGGGTGTGGATGAGAGGAATCCAGAACTGGGAGTGCTAGATCTTCCCTGCTGTGCCTGTCCTTCCGAGGACAATGTTTCAGTGTGAGTGTGTGTGCGTGTGTCTGGAGAGACTGGCTGGAGGGGGCAGGGGGCGGCTTTCCGAGGCTTCCCCTCTCAGATCCCTTCTCCAGCAAGAAAACACAACTCCTGGGAGAACACATTGCTCACAAATTGGGAATGGATTGAATGAAAAGGTTGTTTTGAAAAATCGTTCTAAAGAAATCATCCAAGAACAAGTAATAGGGTATGCGTGTTTGGGGAGGGCTTCGGTGGGAGAGACTTGCTGAGACTGGGAGTTGCAGAGCAGGGTCTGAGCCTGGCCAGCTCTGGGAGGAGGGAGCCCTGGCCTGGGGTTCAAGGGTCTCAGGCCCTGTCCGTGGGGGCCACTGTCCCCTGGGTCCTTTGGGATGCTCCCTTGCTCTCACTGGTCTCAGTCTCCCTGGCTGTAAGATGCAAAATTGGGCTTATTTGAAATATCATTGTCTGCTTTTTTTTTTTTTGCGGTACGCGGGCCTCTCACTGTTGTGGTCTCTCCCGTTGCGGAGCACAGGCTCCGGACGCGCAGGCTCAGCGGCCACGGCTCACGGGCACAGCCGCTCCGTGGCATGTGGGATCTTCCCGGACTGGGGCACGAACCCGTGTCCCCTGCATTGGCAGGCGGACTCTCAACCACTGCGCCACCAGGGAAGCCCCATTGTCAGCTTTGATGACGTGAAATTTGGAAAAGGCTGCATAGGCCCATCGGCATCTTGAACTCTAGGTTACCCTTCCACTGGAGATGCCTGGGGTGGAGAAAGTGTGACTTCATTTCATATTCTGGGCTTAGAGCCCTAGGGTTAGCTGGGTTTTGTGTTGAAGGAAAGGGTGATTGGTGGCTTCCAGAAATCAGGAGTGCACTGATGTGGCTTTTCAGCAACCTTCAAATACAAAGCTCTTGAATGGAGATTTTGGTCCTTGTAATGGAAGAGGAATCTTTTGCTTCACTATGAGGGAAGCTGAGGTTCTCCTCACCCGCCTGTAGCATGGAGTTGAGAAGGCCCAAAGGCAGACCCTGTGCAGAAATCTTCTGTGTTAATAATCTTGGGCTCACGTTGGCACGGTTCTGGAGGCCACCTTGTCTTGTCTTGTTGGTCCCAGTGTCCCCCTTCCATGGAGCCTGGGCTCAGGCTCCCCAGCCGGGGTGGGGACCGGGCCAGCCTCTCAGCAGACACAGCCCGGTGCTGGTCTGGTCAGAGTGAGGGCCTCAGGAACTGGCTCCTGACTGCGTCAGGGAGATGCAGGGAGAGGCAAACCTGCTCTTGGTCACGTGCTGCTATGTCATAGGTGGGATGGGGGCCATATCAGCCCTGGAGGCTGCTGCATCTTGAAGGAGGGTTTCAGGGCTGCCGGCTCTCTATGCTCTGGATCCTGACACCCTGCTGTCCCTGAGCTGCCTCTGAGCTGTGCCAAGTGGGGGGCCTGGCTTCCCAGGGCGCAGGGCGACAGGGGGGGCCGGTTCCTCTTGACCATAGGGGCCCATCAGGGAAGGTGCTTCTTTGAAAATTACAAACCCTAATTCAGAAGCAGTTGCTGCTGTGCAGGGCCCTGGGGTAGTGAGGTCAAGCAGAAGTCCGCTCAGCTGGGCCTCTGCCTCCGTGTCTGTTCCCACCCGGAGCCAAAACTGACCTCAGCTTGGGCTGCTCACTGCTCAGAAGTCAATGTTCGACAGACAGGAGTTGGTGGGGGGAAAGAGATGCTTTATTCAGGAATCCAGGAACCTGGGAAGATGGCAGACTAGCATCCCCCAAACCAACTCCGCGTTGCCAATCAGAGGGCAGGAGCTTTTAAAGGAAAGCTTCCAGGACGTGCAGGAGACTGCGTGCAGAACAGATGGAGCCGCTTGTGTCATGGCGACAGTCTGATCATCACGCAGGTAGCTTTTCCCCTCTGGTGGCGGTTTTTATCAAGTATGTACAAAACAACCCAGGAGTATGCATCGGACACTGTCATCTGTCTTCTTCAGGGAGGGAATAAAGATTCTGTGACTGCTCTATGGCCGATTTACTCTTTAACCTGTTACCATTCTCTAGGCCTAACTGCTATTTTTGTCACTACATGTCTACATCCTTTCAATCATTTATTCTTGAGCCAGGCTTTTGTGACTCAGGGGAGGCCCCTAGGAGACTAAAGCTTTTTGCTACAAACAAGAAACAGGGGACCCAGAAGGGCTTCTGTACCTGAGAGGGTCCTTGCAGAGTCCTGCTTGGTTTCAGTCCCCCCTTTTCTTTGATATTTTCCAATCCTGAGGAGGAAGAGGTGCAGAATATGAAAGGGAAGAAAGTTTTGGATAGAAAGGTTAATCATAAACTTAGCAGAGGAACTTGGTTTTGGTTCTGTTTCTTTTTTTAACTTTTCCCAAATCTTTGAGGGAATGGGGTGATGATCACTCTGGTTACTTCCTGGTGAAACGAGGCCTAGTCCTGCCTCAATTTGGGGAATTGGACACAGAGTTGGAAATAGTCCCTATTTCCAAGCTTAGCATCAGTATTTTGTATTATGAAAACATTACTTCCCTCTTTGATTGCTTTGTCATAGCACCTAGACAAACGTTTGAAAATTAGTAGATATATTACAATGAGGATAATAATCAAAATGCGTGTTTGTACTATTCTCCAAATGTATTTTTTCCCTTAATGGTTAAAGCAGACATACAATGTATGTTTAATAAACCACAAACAGGCTGTTTTAAATTAGCATAAAATTTGAGTTAAATCATGTAAACCAGAAAGACTTCCCTATACCTCAATATGTGAAAATTTCTTCCATCATTTCCCCCTTTTGATTGCAAATCTTTCAGTAGAAAGCACTGATGATCAAAGTATCTGTCCCTTGATTGTGTTTGCTGCCTGCCCTGCCCTGGGTCTATCATGTCCCTTGGTGCTACTCCTACTTTTTGTTTGTATGTTTGCCTAGTTATCCATGTTGGGGGAAAACTAATCAGACATAACAAACAGCTACAAAGGTATGTTGACAGGGAAACATTTGATAGGTTATACATCTTATCAATTATATCAAATTGTCACACAAACATTGCACGTGCTCCAAGCAGTAGACTTAAAGCAAGCAGTGATACATGTCACGAGTAGTTATACTCTGTGACAACTTTATTAGAGAAATGCTTTCATATAATGTTTTCCATGTAGTTTAATAGACCAAATAATCTTAATTAGTTTAATATGTCTTTCTGAGATGGCTCAGGGGCCCTTTGGGAAACTCAAAGTTAGCTAGAGAAAGAAACTTACAGTCTGTTATCAAAGCCGCTCAATATTCCAGGAAAACTTTGTTCTCTTAACAGAGAGAGAAAAACAAACTCTAGTCCTGTATTAGTTTGCTTTTAAATTCAATCTAATCTCAATCAGTCCTGACCATGCACAAAACTCTTTTCTTAAGGTTCCTTTTCCATAAACCTTCTACAACTTTCTGTATCTATATAAGTTTGTCCCTTATTTTTTCCCATCTAGAAACAATGAGCTCTAGGACAAAATTATTTTCCCTTTTTCTTTAACAAAAATATCTCCATCCTTCTCTTGCTGACAACGTATTTTCTTTACATTCTGAAATGATTTCCTTATTATTTTTAATAGTTTAATCGCATATTTATTAGAATTTTTAACCCTTAAAAACCTTAATCGCCAGCAAAAACCAAAAGCCAACTAACTGAACTGTTTGTTATACCAACGTTTTCTGATTGGCAAACTTATAAACATGTTCTCTAACCTCTAAAAACATTTTTTAAAAAATACGTTTTTATAGCATAATTTCTCTTTAAAGTGGTTCAAGATGTGTGTCTAATAAACCCAAACATCTTTAGTTTTTTTTTTCTCTCGTAAGACAAAAGAAGATAGACTTGTCTAGCAATCAATGTTCCAGTACTTTATCTTAAAAATGACCTAGACCTTCAAGAAATGTTTATCATTTAACTTAATTCAGAAAAACTCGAAAGTTTCAAGTTACTAAGAATCTGGAAAGACTAAAACATAATTACTTCTAAAGAGTTCACCTAAGAGCTTCTATACCACTTATCTCTATTTTTTTTTACTTACGACAGTATCATCATACAAAATTAATTTTCTTGTTGACAAGTTTTTCAGTAGATATAATATGAATTTACTGACTTTCAGTAAACCTAGGTACAATAAAATTATCATACTTAACATTGATGACTCTAAAGACATGTCTGTATTAACTACACTTAAACTAACTTTAATGCTGGATATTAATTTAATACTGAATATTCCCCAGATCACATGAACCTGAAATTCATTTTGGTTAGTTTTTTGTTGTATTTAGAAATGTTTGATTTGTAAGCACTTACTTTTCTTTAAGCCAATTAAGTAGCGCTCATTTACAAATTAGTTTTGGTAATACTATCCAAAGATAAAGACATATAATTATAATGTATACATAGACATACATATATCCAGATAGGCAGAGATCTCATAGCTTCATTAAATTAAATTATATATATATTTATTTATTTATGG